CAGGAGAAAGATGAGGATTTCTGCTCCCGTAAAGATTTATAGCCTCAGAAACCCTGAACAGGGTTGCTATGAGTCGGCACCAACTCCACGGCACATTACAACAACAATATATATATCCATCAACGGTCCTTTTATGGGCAAGTATAAAGATCATTTTTAGAGTATTTTTGGCTTTCAATTCTAGTTGTTATATCTTACATGCATAATAATAATAAAAGCTTAATTACTGAGCATGATATGTATCTGTATAATGATGTAATGGTGTGGCACTATAGGATAAGCACTGGACTGCTAACCAAGAGGTCGGCGGTTCAAACCCACCAGTTACTCAAACTCACTGGTTGCTCCTTGGAAACCCTATGGGGTCGCTATGAGTTGGACCCAACCCAATGGCAATTAACAACAACAATGATGTGACAGATAACAACATAAATGAGAGAAGGGAGGAGTGGTTTAGGAATCGTTTTTATCTTTTACAAAAGTTGGTATCAATTCAAGTTGCTATAAATGTAAAATGTGATTTTCATGGTGAAAATGTTTGGAAACAGAGCGTGCTGATGGTAACACAACATGGTGTATATCTTTAATGCCACTGAATTCTACACTTAAAAACTATTAAAATGGCAAATGTTTTGTCTCATTAAAAATTTTCTGAAAAAAATTTAAATGCCCTATATGCCAACTTGAAGAGGCTCACACTAGCTAACGATGGGACAGTTTGGGCCTGACAGGCAATGGTTACAAATGGTTGGTAGATATAAAATACTCAACAGTCTGTGAGCTCCTCATAACCCACAAAAAAGAAAATAAAAATCCCAAGGCACCGGTCACCCTTGTTGGTTTTTAAAGCACCAACTCATCATTCTGAAAGTAGTGAAAGGAAAGAGTTAGGCCTCCAGATTGTGCATATTGTACCAAAAGAGCTGATCAGGGAAAGTGTTCCTTACAGAAGAACTTCAGCCAGCAAGCACAGAGGTATTGTGCCAGTCTCATCACTCTGCAACCTTCAATAGCATAATGCATCCACGCTACAGCCCACCCTTGCTATTAAAACCATGAAATGGACAGCTGGTGGAAACGTTACAATAAGAGCATAAATCTGATAACAGCCGAACCCACCAAGTTGTACAAGAATCACAAAAACATGACAATCAGACTGTGATACTACTTTTCAAGCCAAGAAAATCAAACATGAATCTAAATTAGCCTCTAGCTCTACCTGTCAATTTAGAGAAAATGGAAGCGCATGGCAAATGACAAAAAATACAGAATGTGGGGACATCAGGGCATTACAAGGGACATTAAGATAAATGACATTAATAATATAAATAAATGACACCGAGGGCCCATGAGTGGATGACTAAACAGGCAAAATGTGGTCTTTCAATAGAATAGAATACTAAGGACTTCAAAAAGTTCATGAAAAATGGAATGAAAAGATAATGGAGTTTTTCCACAACTGTTAAAAGCTCCTTTTATTATTAAGCCACAAAGTGAAATGAAGCAGTGATACACTGATGACACAGATGCGCCTTAAAAAGATGAAGTGATGTGAACAATGCCAGATACAAAGGACATTATATGATTCCACTGACAGAACCATACAGTACAGGCAAATCCACAGAGACCAGGGACACAGACAAGGGATGAAATGATCCAAAGTTAGGGGCTTCATAGAGACCAGAGACACAGACAGGGGATGAAATGATGCATAGTTAACGGGTTATTTACTAAGTACCGTGGAGTTGGTTCCATCTCACAGTGACCCCGCACAGGGTTTCCGAGGCTGTAAATCTTTACGGGAGCAGAAAGCCTCATCTTTCTCCCATGGAACTGCTGGTAGTTTTGAACTTCCGACCTTGAGGTGAGCAGCCCAATTCGTAACCACTACGCTACCAGAGTTAGGGGGTGGTGACTGTTAAAACACATTTGTGAATATACGAGGGGGCTTCAAAAAGTTTGTGGCAAAAATCCCACTATCTTTTAATTCCACTCTCCTACGAACTTTCTGAAGTTCCCTCTTCTTATGAAGTGGGCTTACTGTAGGGTAGGTGACTTGCATTTCAGTAACGCTGTTAAAGGGGCAGGCTTGTAGAAAGAGACCTAAGAGACATATAAACAAACTGTAGCATGGGGACACTAGTTTGTTAGGATCCATACAGAAAATATTTTTGAGGCATGTCCTAGATGTTAGACAGCAGTCTAACAGGCATGATTATGGTATTGTGATTATGTTTTAATAGAAAGAAAAACTGCATGAAGCCCATGGCTAAAACTTGACACTGAGGGATCTAGCGATGCCTACATGTAAGCTCACTGCACTGTTCTCTATTGCTGCCATGTGCTATTGAGTCAGTTCTGACTCCTCACAAACCTGTGGAGGGTTTCTGAAGAGTGGCACATGGGCTTGAACTGTCAATTTTGCAGTGGACAGTCCAGTGCTTATCCAACAGAGCCCCTACTATCCTCTCTACGTTCATGTATTTTCCACTTTTAGCCTCACTAATCCACAACCACCTATGAAGTGAGCAGTATGGTCCCCATGCAGATCTAGAACGTATGCTACAAAGCACATTCTGACTGGGTGGCCTAGGTCAGGGTAGGCCCCACCGAGGGCAAAGGGCCGGTACAAGCCTTCTGACCTGCCAGGATCGTCATAGGAGCTTCATGTAACATCTGGAAGCCTAGGTGGGCCGAGACCACCACCCCGTGTGCTTTCAAGCTTTCCCCACCAACTGTCATACTCACCAGAGACCGGCTCCCTTGGGTGCACCATCTCCTTCTCCTGACCCCACTGGACCTCAGAACACGGCTCCTCTCCCCTCTCGAGCCAGGTGAGGATGTCAGGCTTGGAAATGGCATAGTCTGTATGTAGCACAAGGGAGAACCTAGGTCAGACCAGACACCTGCCACCTGCTACCCACAGACATGCAGAAGAGCCAATTCACAGAAGTCAGATAAAACAGAGACGCTGGGCCAAGCTGTGGACAGAGGCCCACGTCCCAGTGCCCAGCCTCACCCAGGGACACCAGAGTTTCGTAGTTGCCCCTCATCACGTGCTTGTACAGCTCCTTCTGCCACTCATCCAGCTTCCCCCACTCCTGCTCCGAGAAATACACGGCCACGTCGTCGAAGGTCACGGGCACCTGGAACCACAGTGCCACCGTGCTCACTCACACACTCAGAGGCTCGGCTGCTCTGGCTCCCCCACCCCAGGAGGCCCGCGGGCTGACCTTGGGCACCTCGCCCTTGCTGCCCGGGGGCAGCCGCAGGATCCAGAAGTTTCTATTCCTCAGCAGGTTCTCCATGTTCTCCAGCCTCCGCTGCAGCAGCCCGTACTCCTGTAGCAACGTCCCCAGCACGACCCACTTGCTCTCTAGATGGTTCGCAAACTCCATGGCCGTCTTCTCGCAGTCGGCCAGCATCGTCTTGGCTGTCCCTGTGTACCCCTCCAGAGTCAGCAAGCGGGTCAGGCAGGAGTCCACCTTCTTCTCCATGGCCTGTAGAGTGGCCACCACGGTCCACAGTGTGATCTCTGTGGGGTACAGGTAGGCTCTCTGTTCAGTAGCTGGCGGCTCTGTCTGCTTGTCCATCTCTGGAGCCTGTTGGGGGGAAAGAGAGATGTACTCACAAGGATTCAATCATAATGACCCCCTCTAAAAGGGACCTCAAGGAAGCAGCAGTCAAGAGATCAGACGAAGTATATTAGGCAAATCTGCTGCACAAGACCTTTTTAAAGTGTTGAACAAAGATGTCAGCTTGAGGACTAAGGTGCACCTGACCCAAGCCATGGGATTTTCAATAACCTCGTATGCATGCGAAAGTTGGACAGTGAATAAGGAAGACCGTAGAAGAATTGATGCCTTTGAGTTATGGTGTTGGAGGAGAATATTGAAAGTGCCAAGGGCTGCCAAAAGAACCAACAGATCTGTGTTGGAAGAAGTGCAGCCAGAGTGCTCCTTGGAGGCCAAGATCGTTAAACTTCATCTCTCATACCTCAGACATATTGTCAGGAGTGACCAGTCACTGGAGAAGGACATCATGTTTGGTAAGGTGGAGGGAGGGTCAGAGAAAAGGAGGAAGACCCCCAATAAGAGGGATTGGGAAAGTGGCAGCATCAATGGGCTCAAGCATGCCAACAGTAGTGAGGTTGGCCCAGGATCGGGCAGTGTTTCGTTCCACTGTGCATAAGGTCGCGATGAGTCGGCACCAACTTGATGGCACCTAACAACAACAAAAAGGGACCTCAAAAGAAGGGCATCTGGGGACCTGAGGGGCAGTCAGGGTGCGGGTAGATAGGCTGGGCACTGGACAGGAGTCCAGCCTCAGCAAGAGGATACACAGGCTAGGAAAAGAGGAGGAAACACGTCCTCTGAGAAAACAGGTGTGTGTCATCTCAGAGCACAAGGGAGGGCTCAGAGCACCACATGGGAGCAATTTGCAATCTGCCCCTGAGCAGCTCACTGGCTTTACCATGGTGTTTGTTCCTTCACATCTTTGACCTCCCCTGGCACACTTAGAAAGCAAAGACTGCAATAATGGTGCTTACACAACAGGGAAGGGGACATTGTTGGTCCTGTGGTAGAAAGCTTGCCTTCTACGTGGGAGACCCAGGTTTATTTCATAGCCAACGCAGCTCATGAGCAGCTACCATCAGTCTATCAGGGGATGTTAGGGTGTTGCTACGATGCTTAACAGGTTTCAGCTGAACTTCAGATGAAGCCGGACTAGGAAGAAAAGCCTGATCATCTACTTCTGAAAGTCAGCCCATCAAATCCTTGGGATCCCAGCAGTCTCTGTAACTGACTGGAGGACAGGCAGCACGCGTTCCTGTTGTGCATGAGCCGAGGGCAGCTCAACAGCTCACGGTGGGCGGTACAAACTGAGTGAGCACGCGGCCATCTCAGCATCTCAGTAGCGGTGTCCCATGGGTGACAGCTACAGTGATAATGACGACAACGTGAAAAACGGTTTTAAATGGCCTGTTGTGCAGTGGGTTACTTGTTAGAGGTCAGTGGTTTGAGCATACTAGCTACTCCCTAGGAGAAAGATGGTTACAGACTCAGAAACACTATGGGGCATTCTATTCTATATTATAGGGTCACTGAGTTGGAAGCAACTTTACAGCATTAGGTTTTTTGGTTTGTTTGTTTGTTGTTTAATTTTTACTGTGAATTGAGTGATAATTTACATGGGAGAACATCAGCTTTACATTCATCCAATCGGATTTTGTTTCACTGCAATGATTACAGTCCCTCGATGCGTCATCATTCAACAGCATTTGCTTCCATTCCCTCATTTTTGTTTTGTTTTGTTTTTTAGAGGTACACCAAAGCACTCAAGAATATATAACAATTCAAACACAAGCCTGCCCCCTGGCCATCAGCACACAGCCCCTCTCTCTCTCTGTATTCAGAGGCCACAGCCACTCCATCTCGCCACATCATCGTCTCTGTCTCCATCTCTGACGTCACTGCTTCGCTGGATAGGGTCCCGCACTCCGCATTTCTCCCTTGATGGTCCCAGGGTCCTTCGCTCCTGGACTGCAAGATCAACCACTACCCTCCTTTTGTTATAAAACATCTGCTTTTACATTTGCAACACTCATAATCAGTCCTGATAGTAATTATTCACTATTGAACCACAAGAGTCTTATCCCCATCTCCTTTCACCAGCCCCATCCAGACAAGTTGGAAAGCCACTCAGTGGAGATTCTACCTTCCCCCACACCTTCTGAAACTAGGCTCCCTCTTGAAAGCTTGTAAGCCAATCAATTCGTGCCTTGTGCCCCCCTCCCCACCACATTTTGGGTCGCCAATGTCTAAGTTGCCCATCCCTGTCAACCCTGTGTACAAAGGGGGTGGGCATGATCCTCGCTGTAAAGATTCATTCCCTCTTTTGAGCTATTACATCCTTAAGTATAGGTCAAGTTCATCAAATTGTAGCGGATTACTATTTTTTTCCTGTTTCTTTTTCTAGTCGAGATCTGATCATCCAGCCAATGAAGCCAGGTCAAGTGGGTACTATCTGCAAGTATGGGTGTTCTTGTACATCTCCCCTCACTTCATATTAGCTGGACGCTTCACTCTCCGCTCTAGTCCTCTGTGGCCATGTCCCTGTCCCTGGGCCCAGGAGTCCCCAGTTCTTGCCATACTGCTGGCCAACCAGGTCTCAATCTAGGTTGGCAGGAGTTATTGAACGTGGTCAGACTTATCTTATTGCTGTTTTTCCCCCACTTCCCCTTATCAGTAGACCAACGAACGTGGTCACCAGCAAGACCTTGAGTCTCAGTCTTGGAAGGGGGTTTGCCCTAAGGGGATCTGACTGCTTGCCTTGATGGTTCCCCAGAGAACAACTTGCTTGTTCTTGTAGTAGTCAGTTGGACTGCCATTATTGTTTTTCTTTTTCCTGTCAGTCTTTCTTTCAAGAAGTATCTTCTGTTCTTCTAGCCGCTCCAGGCTGGTCTGCTTGTCCTTTCAAGTGGAAATTTCCCACCTCAGAAGATTCTGGATGGGGATCGGGATTCCACCAATGGTCTTATGCAATGCAAAGCCTCCACAGGAAGCCTCCGTCACTGGGCAAGTTCTAGCCTCTTTAAGGTATTCCAATCAGTTATAGGCAGAAAACAGACGTACAAGTTTTCTATGGTGATGTTTCTGGCTATAGCTTTCTCTCCCCATCAAGTGTCTATTTTATAATAGTAGGTAAGGAAGACCAAGCTTCAAAAGACAGCCAAGCATCTTAACCTTATTTCCCCTCTTTTACCCATTCAAACCTTTTTTTTTCCCCCAGCATTAGGTTTTGAAGTTTTCCTTCACCTCTTTCATTCCCGGGTTCCCGGTTTCTTGGAAGGCAGTTAAGGCAAACTTCTCATCATACTCCAACCCCTCTGACCTTATCTCCTCCTTACTATATACTCCAGCTATATGGCCTCCTAAACATTACCAGGGCACCCCCCCCCCAATATCCTCCCACCCGGGGTTCCCTCTCAGCCTCAACACCACCCCTCAAGGGGCCTTGCCCACCCTTAAAAGCAAGCAGGCCCTTTAAGCTCCTGTCTTTCCCAGCACAGATCCTCTGCTGGCTGGCTGCTTGTGTACCAATTAGTCAGTTCCCACTCATAGCCACGCTGTAGTGTTTCCAAAGAGTGGCTGGTGGGTTTGAACTTCCAACCTTGCAGTTAGCAGTCCAGATCTGTTATTCCCTGGTATATTCCCAGCTTCTAAAGGAGACGGTTCCCCATTGCAAAGGCTAAGCATGTGTGATCCCTCAAATGAACCTATCCCAGCTGAGGTGTGATGTGGCTTTAGGAAACCCTGGAAGGGGCAGCGGTTCCCTCTCCAGGATAAAAGTCCTGCGCAGAAGCAGACATACTAACAGGCGACAAGATGGGCTCAGTGTGGGGGGCAAGTCTGTCCTGTTTGGGAGGTTTCCCAGCATCCAAACAAATGAGTGAGTGGTCCCTGGGCTCCTTCTCCCTGAGGGTTCACGTGCACAAGACCCCATGTTTGGGCTCCTTACGCTCCTACCGGAGGAAGCGCACCAAACACACCCGTAAAAGAGGAGGGGGTTCCCTGAAAGAGAATCCAGAAAAACCAAGCTTCCAAAGTCTGAATGGTTGACGGAGTCATCACATGAAGTGAAGTGCCGTCGAGCCGGTTCCGACCCATAGCGACCCTGGGTAGGGTTTCCGAGGAGCAGCTAGTGAGCTTGAAGTTCAAACGCCTTTGCAGTCTGGCGTATTAACCCACAGCGCCACACCAGGACTCCCAGCGTCATCACAGTGGGACCCTGACAAAAACTTTTCCAAAGGCGGACAAACGTGCCATCCGGCACACTATCAGGCCATGTCCTCAGACCTCGGCGGCCTGGCCACCTGTTAGAACCGCCCTCCACCCAACACACAAGCCCATTTGTAGGCCTTGCTCACCCTCCCCTTAGGGAGAAGTGTGTACAAAGGGACGCAGCGACCGGAGACCTGGCCCTTCCTCTGTCACCCGGGTGGCGCCCCTCTCCCCCTCCGCCCAGTTCTCCGGGGAAATGGTCACCAGGTCTCCTGCAGGCCAGGCACGATCGCCGGTGCCCTGCAGTGAGTCTGAAGGGTCAGGGCGGCGCTTACCCGGGCGGGCGCCGCGTTGGCCATGGCTGCGCGCTGGCAGGCCTGGGTGGATGGGCGGCCGTGGAATCGGCCTGGGTGGCGGCAAAGCAAAACCTGCCAGGCAGATGGACAACCGGGGAGCAGGGGGCGTGGGGCTTGGCGGGAGTATGACTGCGCGCGGACAGACCGGCAGTGGAACTCGCCGGCAGCCACGAGCAGCGTCCCGGCCACATGCGCTGTAACAAGAGCGGCGGCCGCGCACAGCGCCCCCTGCAGCCCGAAGGACCGCCCCGCCATCCCGCTCCGTGGATCCAGCCTCCAGACCCGAACCCTGGAACAGACCCTAATCCATGCCGCCCGCCCATCAGTCCCTGTCCGGTCGTCCTCACTGCGCG